GGTGTGTGTGTGTGTGTGTAACCACCAAAGAAACAGCCACACATTAGAGGATGAATCCTGATAAAAACACTAATGTGACATGTAAGCAAGACCTTTGTACAGCCATAAAATTGGTGTCATAGAAAGGCCTAATCCTATACAAAGGTAATCCACTTACATTACAAAAATTGCCACAGAAATTGCCATGATTTTTCTTGGCATGCTTTCAGAGCATGTCTGGATGACTTTTACTGAGTGTGTCGTGAGGTGACGGCAAACGCTGCCAAATAACATTCTTGGATGTCTTAGCCGTAGCCGTGTGCCAATGAGTCGAGCTGTTGTCATCCACTGTTTAGACTTGCTTGTGCAAAACAATTTTTTCTTTTTTAAATAGACAAGTTCAGGATGTAGTTGAGTGCAGTAGCCCTGTTTTTCTCTACTGGAACAGTAAATGCAAGAGGCTAATGAGAAATGAAAGGAACGTATGGGCTTGTGTTTTGAGAGACATTGCCAAAGTTGTCAGCGCACAACTCTTCACCTGTATAAACAACATAATGTTCTGGCAACATCATTAATTACTCTTATGACAGTCAAACACGGGTCTTCCAAGTTATATTTATCCTTTTCTACAGCTCGCTCTTTCTCTGTGTTGCTTCTGTATAAAATCATTTTTGGTGCCCTCTCAGTTCAGCTCACATCCTGAAAATAACTGTACCGTGAAAAGACGCAACAAAATAAACAAACATTGAAATTTTCAGGCATTTCCTAATTTTCATCTGCTCAGCTAAGACATGCAATCAGAACTTTAGATGCAGCCACTGTTGCACTGATTTTTGCACCACAGTGTTGTTCAAATTCAGACTTTATGATTGTCTGCAACCTGAAGTAATGATCCCATGCAATATCCAGATTATATCCACGAGATATCTAGAGCAGACAAACTAAAACATGGTTAAAAGCACATAACTGATGACAGATAAGAAGAGAGACTTACGCAGACATTCATTGGCCTCACGAGCATTGGCCCTCTGCCAAGGTCGGTCATAGTGAAAGGGCTTGCAGCGGTCACATTCAGGTCCTTCCGTGTTGTGTTTGCAGTCACACACCAGTTTACCTTCCTTGTCTTTCAGACAGCGTGAGGCATGGCCGTTGCACTTACACCTCCCGCCCACCTGGAAGTCTCCCACTGCATAGAAATAAGTTGGGAGTGTTGATGTCACTGCCATGGGGTCATCATCCCTCCCTCCAGTGTTGCCTCCGGCCCCTAGTACCAACTCCCGGGGCATCTGCGGCCGGCTAAAGACCACACGGATATCAGTGACGGTGACCCAGTCCTGAAGAACTGGGCTGTTGTCGAAATCTTTACCAGAAGGCCGTCCATCCAGAGTGCTGAACGCTATAAGCCCTCCAGACAGCGGATAAAGGTCAGTGTGACCATCTGTGCAAAGAGCTTCCTGCTCATTCTGCTTGGTGATGGTTGCTTTGTTGGGTCGGTTGTACATGCGGCGGCACTGCGAGGAGTAGAACTGGTAGGGCATCCAGCTTTTGCCATAGTCCATGCTTTTGTATATGGCCAGGGACTCGGGTCGTGGTGAACAAAACTGCAGGCTGACGTAGGTAATCTCAAATTTTTTACCCAGCGAAAGGGTGAGAGTCACATTGTACGGAGAGGTGTTCAGATTCTCCGACTGCCAGCAGGTGAGGTTGTGGGCCGAGTTGAGGTCGGTGAGGTAGGAAGCCGGGTGGGCACGGCGAGGGTCGGCTGCATCACAGATTTGGCACGTGCGTACAGAAGGCCGCTCGTCGCCCCGCTCCACCACGCTACAGGAACGGGAGGGAGGTCGGCCACACACGCTGGAAACCATCACCTCCTTGCCGAAGGCAGCATTGATAAACTCAGGGATACACCGGCGTGCTGCACCGGTGTCATCATAGCAGGGGTCTGGAGGAGTCTGCTGTCCTGCGAAGGGATTAGCGGCACTGTGGGTGAAGGTTGAGCATGCCAGGAGGCACAGGCCCAGCAGGTACCTCCAAGGTTCCCTCATCCTGCTCAAGGGGCCTGTGTTTGGATGTCTATGTGCAAGGATGAGGGTATGTGTGTTTGCCCAAGTGTGTAAACTGAGTGTCTGCGTCGTTGCACTGATGTGTCAGTGTGTGACTCCCCCCCCGTGAGTGTGCAATTTGTGAGTCAGTGGAAGAAGAGTGTCTGAGCTCAGTGACCCTTCGCTTCAGGCTGACAAGAGCCTTTCCTGTAAGAGAGAGAAATAAACACAAGGGTCAATGTCATCGACATATTTTACCATAACAGGATAGAAAATGGAAAGTGGCATTGATGTACTGCATAAAAAACAAGCAAACAAAAAACCCAATGTTGTGTATCTTTAAAACCAAATTATACTTCCCCTTATAAAGGAAATTAAATAAAATCTTTTACGTTGTACAGCCACAAGTGAATGTTTTCATTGACTGAAAGCCTGTCAAAGGATCAGACAGATGAGGGGCCCGAGAGAGAGAATGTGACCATTCAAAGAGAGACATAAGTGGCTGCAAGTAGCTGCATCCTGAATTTCAATGCCGGCCTCTCATTCACTACTCGAGTCCTACGCTATTCAGGTCAAAACTGGACAAGCCTTCTGGTCATGCTTGAGCAGCATGGCAGAAGTCACCCCATAATCCCTGGTGGTGCGGCAGAGCAGTGAACCATGTGTGACCCTGGTCAAAGCACTGCTGCAAGCGCTGGTCCTAGAAGGAAAAAAAAAAAAAAAAAAAAAGACGGGGGGGGGTGGATTCTACATACGAAGACCAGGCTGTAGTTACTTGCTAATTTTTGAGGAATTTTACAGGAAATCAACCGTTGCAACGCTATTGTGACACAGTGCTGACCGCAAAGAAGGCAGCGTTGTGTTTATTCGCTGAACCAGAAAATTCACCAAAAGTGATGGGTATTTGAGAAATAAACTCCACTTTAAAAGAACCGAGTCTGTGAGACACTTTTCAGGCCTTTCTAAATCTATGGGTCAAGACAGGTACCTGGTTGGCTTCTTTCATAAGCTCAGTGCTTGACGAGAGGCCTCTTGGTCCCCGAGAAAGATCGAGGGGCACAAGGAGAAAAAGCCCCAGAGCAAAGAAAGCAGACAATAGAAAGAGATGTATATGGCCTGAGGTTTCTTCTTCCTTAATCCCCTTTTTACTTCCCTGGATGTCAAGTCTAGAAGAGCCTAATTTTAAAAGTGACAGCGGAGGGGTTGGGAAGGTACCCCAACCGTTTAAATTCAATTACAATGCATCACACCCACCTCCTTCTACCCGCACACTCATTCTTATACTACAGAATCGTTTTTCATCGTTGTAGAACAAAAAGCTGCATCTGTGGCCAATCAAAAAAAAAAAAAAGTCAATTTTTGTGGATTTTGTCCATAGAAATCCTCAAAAAAACAAAACAAAAAAACAAACAACAACAACAACACCCAAGTGTCCTGATAAATAGGATGCCTCTTCTGTGCTTAAACACCATTCAGCTGATTCTCAAGCAAGGTTCAGATGCTTAGAAAAATTAATGTGATGAATATTGATATCAATCTCTGTCACGCATTACAGAGTGTAATCTGTGCGGTGTTAATTTTAGCAACATTAAGCAGGTAATTTTTTTTAGATTTAGGTTTTTTATTTTCAGTATGTGTGTGTTATGGATACATGCAGGAGAACATTGGATACAGTTTTCACTCTTAAAGAAAAGAAGAAAAGTATGCTGTTGATAATTTTAAAGTAACAGGTACATTTGGAGTATTTAAAAAGAAAGGAGATAAAATATCATACAGGTGTTTTTCCTATTTAAACATACAATGTCATAAGGGAAATGCAGCATCTACACAGTATTATAAAGGGTTGTGGGCTGTATTATAGAGTATCCTAATTCCCCTATCTTAAAGTGAAATTACATAGTTTGAGGTGCAAACTGTAGTACATGCATGTTGTGTTTATTTTTTTTTACTAATTGGCATTTCAGGAACTAAATCTGTCTTTCATTTTAAAGACCTGATTTAAATCAAATAAAATCCCCAACTCGTCTTTTTGTTCTATTTGGTTTTAACATTTATAACATTTATAACTAAAAATTTAAGAAGACTTGTCTTTAATATTTGTTTAGCATTGATTTTAACCATATGCGTAAAAGTTTACATTGCTGTTAATTAATTGTATGTTGTTAAAATTAAAAGTAAATTTATGTTATTTACTTTTGTTTACTAGACAAAAAATAAAAATAAAAAATTTCAGGTCTGAAACATATGGCCTTTTTGAATGACACAAAGTATCACCACCTTTAAATACAGTAACTTAAGCACATTAATGCGTAATTACAATGTAAAAAGATGCACTTTCAAAAATACCTTAAAGGTACTTTTAATTAAAACATACTATGATCTTATACCACAAAACACAGTGTATTTGTCTCTTTCTTTAAACATACCAAATCATACTCCGTTGTCCTTCTGTACCTACTGTATGTATGCATCACTACTTCAAATAAAAAGTTCAGAAAAATTACAGAAAACCTTTGGGACATGACAGCATAAGTTGTAGGATTTAGTATAAAGTGCTATAGTGGGAAGTTCCCTATATGTGAGTATAGGGAAATACAACCTAACACATCTGAGCTCTGAAGCAGACATTCAGAAATAATCTTCTTGGCAAGTTAAAGACCTCAGCATAAGAATAAAAACAACACATTTCTTCTTGCACAGTGGATTGAGAGGATGGGTCTGCTCATTAATGACTGGACTAAGAGGTCTTGGCAGGATAGATAAGGACACAGATAGGTTGCATGTGTCTGCGGTCAGGGAGGTTAAAGTGGTTACACAGACGGGAGTTCATCAACCAAACGTACTCCATCAAAAGACTGGTCATGGTAAGGCTGGTGGGCTTGACACTCAGTGGGGAGGGCGCAGAGAGGCGGCCGATAGAATTAGCAACTCATTAGCATCCAGGCCGGGCTTCCATCAGCAGCATGCTCATCTGGGAAAATAAACTGTGGGGAGTCTCTGAAGGAGAGAGGAAATAGGAGTGGAAACAAAATAGGAAAAAAGTCTAGAAATTATCACAGGATTGAAGATTTTATGGGCATGTTTAGAAAGAGTTGGTGGGTGGACAGCAGACGAGAGAAAAATAGATGGCATAATCATACATAAGAGTTTTGGTAGGCAAGAAAGGAAAGGGACACGGGAAGGAGAGAAACAGTGAGGGGCACGACAGTGATAAAGCAGAAATGACTGGAGGGAGGGCAAGCAAGGACAGAGAAGAATGGGAGCAGTAGGAGAAAGAGGGAAAGTGACAGAGATGGAGGGAGGGAGTTGAGGGAAGGACATAAAAATTGAGAGAGGGCGCAATGGAGGGGAGACAGATTAAGGTAGAGGACTGCACGGGTCTGTGTCTGGACTTTGGATGACTAAATATGGTGCGGCCCATGTGCCTGCCGGGAGACTCTTGCAGGGTCTGGTGCTGTCAGGCGCGTCTGGCAGACGAGCGTGTAGGTTAAACAGAGACGGTACAGTGACACGGCTGTTTAATTCCACTCAGTCCGTCCTCTGAAACAGTTGCCAGCATGCACGAGAGACTTATCTCACTTCCACTAAAATCAGCCTTTTGGCATTTTTAATCTCTGCTATGACATCAGCACTGAGGTGTAGCAGGTTGACCTTTTAAATACTAAGAATCTGTTTCAGCAAAAAGTTATCTGCCTTTAGCTTTGGCCGTGTGTTTAACAAGCTACGACTTCCCCTCAGTGGGAAAGATTTAGCCTCTCATTAAATGTGGTTAAAGTAGCAACAGCTGCAGTCCAGTGTCTCCGTCTTTCTGATTAAGACGATGAATCCCACACAGAAATGTTGGGTTAGCGAAGAGAGGCTGCAGCTTTTAAAGAGAAAACAAAAGACCTGCAGATTTGCTTACATTGTTCCAGTAAAGAGATATTCTTATTGTTGTGGGAGAAAATAAAATCATGCATGCAATATTTTTACATTATGATTCCTGCCAGGAGTTAAATGAGATGATTAAAACCACTCTCGTTCAAGTGAGTGTAGCAGTTATATTGGCTCTGTTTAAGTGTCAGAAAATCTGGCTGCCACGTTGCCCAAGCTCACTAATTAATTACATTTGAGCGTAAAGATGTTACATTTAATCTGAGGGTAATGCATCGCTTCCCATGTTGATCTCCTATAATAGCTACGCTTTTGCATTTCATGTTAAAGTTGGCCTGCTTGCAAACCTACTGGCATCATTTAAGTGAGAAAAAAGAAGAAGTAATTTTAAATTGATTAGCTGGTCGAAGTGCGGTGATAAATACAAACTGCATATTAGGCAAATTGTCACAACAACATTCCTCTGTGGCATAACGGCAATGAAAATCCTGAATGTGCAAACATCCTTTGATCCCAAATCCTGGGCTGTGGCAGTGTTAAATTATTTGCTTATTAGTAATATAGACTCCTTTGGAAACGAAAGAATGAAAATAATATGGGGCTTTTAGAGCGAAAGCCCTCGCACTCCCCCTGCATAGCATGTTTTTCCTCGCCATAAAGATTACTCAGGCCATTTGGCAGTCGGAACAGATCCAGCGGTTTAAAAATCAAACCAGTGAGCCCAATTAAGGAAGGCTGATGATGAGGGGCAATGGGAAAGGAAATTAGATTAAAGAGATGTGGGCGACAAATAAAGGGAACAGAAATCCAGGAAGACAGACGAGAGAGAAAGGGAGGAAGAGAAGAACAGGAAGATGACAGGGTGGTCTGGTGGTTTCAGCGGAGACATTCCAGGGAACGTTTTTTCAGCTTCTCGCTGTCACCGGGAGATCATCCCATGTTGAGTTGTCTCTCTTTCAAGCGTGGGCGCCTCTGTCAGAGTTCACAGATTAGGAAAACAGAAGTGGCTGAGAGGCTTTATTTGGCTTGGGTGAAGAGGAGGGCGCCAGGGGAGGTGAGGATAGGAGAGGGACCAGCTGAGCCACTTTGTATCCCAACTGGGAGCCGTTCCTGCTGTTCTGGAGCGACGGTGTGCTGGCTGCACTCAAAGTGGGACTGAATGGAGGCCTTCTGCGACGACCGTCTCAGATGACAGCAAGCTGGGGTCCAAATTGGTACCCTGCTAACCCTCCAGCCTGCTGTATAGTAATCCCTAATGGGGTTATTACCGGCTGCCCGGAATCATGATGGGATTTTTAATAGGCTAACAACAGGGCTACCTCCATTCTCATTAT